TATATATATATATAAATCTCAATGTTTTAAAACCACTTTAAAAATTTTTCATTCCTACATAATTATTTGAAGTAATACTGACATTATCCCTCAGGATTTTCATCATTATTATTCAAAATTAAGATTAACTTTTTCAGGAAATGAGAATGGTATTTTTAACATATTTTCAGAAGAAAAGAACCATATTAGTTTCAGTAAAATGAGTGGCGATTATAAAAACAGAATTGAATTACTGTTTTCAATACTGAGCTTCAAACTAAGCAAACAAGCAAATATATTAGCAACAGTTCAGCCAAGTTAAACCATTGGCAAATCACCCTTATGATAAAAGTTAAACAGCTTGGAAAAGCAATTCAGTGCTTGAAAATCAACTGAGCAGCTGCTGTCAAATCTAAAACAGGTTATGATGGAGAAGACTGTTCTCTGACTCAGCCGAACACAGACGTGTGCAAAGCTAAATAAAAACTGCAGTGTGATCAGACCATTCACACCCAATAATGTATTTTCTAGGTGGTGGTACCCATTACTGGCATGGGTGTGTGTATGTTCATGTGTGTGTCTATGTGTGTTTGTGTGTATACATGTGTTTGTATGCATACGTGTTCATGGAGGTGTGTGCACACGTATGTGAGCATGCTTATCGAGACCAGAGGTTGATTGATGCTGGCTATTTTTCTGGGTCACTCTCTGCCTTAGCTTTTGGGGAGGTGTCAATGAACCTAGAGCTTCTGGATTCAGCTAAATAAATTGGCCAGGGAGCTCCAGGGATCCTCCTGTCTCCACCGCCTCAGAGCTGACATCACAGGTGTATGGGATTAAAGCTAGGTTTGTGTTTATGTTGTTAACATGGTGCTGGGGATTAAACCCAGGTCCTCATACTTATGTGGTAAGCACTTAGCTGACAGAGCCACATGCACAGCCCCACGGTGGCTTGGCTTTCTAAGTATGCTACATCGTGTTTCTGCCTTCTGTTTCCATGCTTAAATGCCCTTGTGATGACATTTCAGTCCACGATCCTGTGGTCAACTGGTTAGCAATCTTAGTTCCCTTTGCTCTGTAATGTAACAGATTCTAAGTTCTGGCTAGTGATTAGGATGAAGACATCTTTAGGAAGGAGGAGGTGTTTTCCTTATTAAAAAAATACTTTTGACTTTGGAACACTCAAAATTGAATAAGAAGATGAATTTAAAGCAAACTCTGAAACTGAACATGAGTAAAAACAAATGAAACTTTAGAAATCACTAGCATAACTATACTTTGGAGAAAAAAATTCAAATAAGCTGTGACCATAGTCCAAA